TTATAATTTATCCTCAATTTATTCATTTGAACTTACTTTCTTCAGTAATTTGTTCTGCTTCGTTCTTTTCATCTTTCTTTTCAACAATTTCTGATTTGATGGGTTCAACAACTTTTTCATGAATTTCTTCATCTTTTGCTTGTTCTTCACTATCTTTTTTAATTGTTTCTACTTTTTCGTTGCTTGTAACAATAGGTTCATCAGTCTTTACTTCATTTTCTACGACACTAACATTGTCAGTTTTTTCAGCAATATTTTCTTGAACGAGTGAAACAGGGGATTTTATGTCATTTTGTTGGGGAACTAATTCTTTTAACTTCAAATCGTCAGCTTCAGTTTTTGCTTTTTCGTCATGTATTTCAAGTTCGGGTTTTACTTCGTTTTCCTTTGGTGCTATTTCATTGAATGGTTCAGTTTCCGGCAGCAAAGTTTTTGTTTTGTCAGTAGATTCAGGTTGATCAGAAATTACCTCGTCGACATCAACTGGCAGTTCTTCTGACGTCAAATTAATTTTTTGTGCTGTTTCCTCACACACAGGCTTTACGTCCGTAGAAGGAACTCTTTCTTCAATTTTGGGTTCAGCAAATGATTTTTCAACATCATCAGTGATTGTTTTTACTAAACCATCAACAACGGCTTCAAAATCATCTTTACTTTTATCGCTATATTCTGAAGTTTTAAAAGATATGTATTTAAACGAATCAATTAAAAATAAAGTTAATACCAAGCTGTTTCAGTTCAGCAGAACTTTTTGCAATGCCTAAAATATTTTTTGCCTCACAGCAGTACATTCCAACATCTGAAGTCAAGAAGTTTTTGATGGCTAATTTAACACATCCATTTTTATCATAAAACATCTTAGTTCGATCATTTTCTTCTAAGCTTTTTTCATCTTTCAGCCTGTCAAATTTATATACACACATTTATTCTTATTATGATAATTTAAATTGAAGGTATTTTAAAATAAAACCATGATATGGTTGGATGGGGTTTTCCAACAACTTGGCCTTCAAAAATAATTTCATCTCCAAGTACTGCAATTTTTTCTTGCAGATTTTCAACAAATAAAGGCTTTTCTAAGTTACTGAAATCGTCCGCTTCTTTGGAATCTTAAAAATTTTGTTGAAATAATTTTTTAAAATTTATTTTGATCGACTTGATTGGCTTAAGTTTACAGCATATATATTGCAATTTAAAAAATTTCTCGCCAACCACATGCAATGTTTCTTGTTGATACTCAGAGGTATCAATGAAGGAATAATGTTCTCGGTCTTATGATTTCTTATTTTTCCGACCCCGACATTCGTTTATTAAAAAAAAACAGCCGGGCCCAGAAAAAAAGATTAAAAACAACGAGGTCGCCATGCTTTGTGTCTGATGAGTATTATAAACTTATATTTAAATGCGGTTTAATTTTGAAATTAAATATTAATTGGTACGATTATGTCAAACACACCTTAGAAAAAACTCCCTAATTTACCAGAGTTTTGTATGTTGTACCATTCTCTTCGCCTGACAGACTTGTTTTTACGGAATAAAAAAATGTTGACAATACAATCATAGACAATGAAAATAGAAACTAGTACTTGCCAGGTCACCCACCCTCTGCTACCACAAATCAAAACTACCGCACACAACCTTCGTTAACGTAAACATAATTATCAAATTAACTTATCATGATAAAAACCTCGTTCCAAGACACCTAAAAAATATTAATGCTCAATAATCATTCGTCATTGGCTTAACTTTGTTTATTCTTTTCCTCTATTGAACATACTGCATACAATTTTTTCAGTCGTTGATTACTTTTTTATTTCATTCATTCATTTATCAGTTTCCAAAATCATTATTTAATTTTCCACATGCAACCCTTAATCGACGTTGCATTTTATACAAATTGAATGTAATGAATAACTGTGTATACATTAAGTTTTATATATCATACTATATTGTATTTTTGAAAACAAACTTTATAAAACGCAGTTTTCACAATTTTAATTGTACACGCCACTCGAAATGCCTGTTTTTGTTGAGTACGGCTAAAAAAATATTGTACATGTCGAGGCTTTATATAAATATTGTAATTTGTATACATATACAGAAAAAACTAGATGTAGACATAAATAAACCCGACATCAAAAAACTCATCCGTCATATTCATACAAAATAATCAACTCTTTAAAACCTAACCCAATACTTAATAACCACTCCCACACCGATCAACAAAATTGAGAAATACCTTCCACGCAAAAAAACATCTTAGCCCAGCTCCAGATGAGGCTACTTAACACACTCGATAAAATACATCAAAAGAATCAATCAAACAACGACAGGCCAATGCAACCACCGTTTCACACCTCACCATACAACGCAACAGCACTTCGGCAAATCCAGAGTTAGCGGCTCATGCATTCAATATATTGCGTGGCAATTAATGACTCAACAGACCAGCTACAACAACAACAGCAGACAACAGCAACAGCAAACAACAACAAATAACAACAACAAACAACAAACAACAACAACAACACCCCAAACTATAACACTAATTCATTTGGGTCTTTCATTGAAGATTGGTAATTTGTAGACTATTGTGATAAGAGAAACTGTTAACAGCATTATTTATCAATTACATTAAAAAATCCTAAGGTACAACACAAGATACAACAACATAAAAATGATAAGATTACAAAGAAGTGAGAATGAGATTATTAAAACGGCATTAGAGATTGTTTTCAACGCATGTACAAATAAAAAAAAACGTTGTATTAAAAACTTTCTCACAGATTCAAATTTAATAAAGTATTTATAAAAAATATAAACTATACAAAGTTGGCGCTAATAGTCTAACTTGTGCTGATGCACCGTAAAATCTAAACAAACATGCAAACAAACAAATAAATTAGCAAACCCATTAAAAAAACATTGTTAACAACACACGATCCAATTAAATTCAGTTAGCTGAATAACTTTCAGCCAAAATTTTTTGTTTTTATATTGTTTTTGAAACTTTGCTCTACGGTAACTTATTATTAAAATCAATAAAAATTTGACAAATATTAAAATTGATTCAGAAATGTATCAGTAAAATAACATGTTAGAAGGTAACAAGATAACACAACACAATTTAACAGAACAAACCAAAACGTAACACAACACCACAACGTATAATGTCGTAAAAATAATGGGGACCAGGCTTAAAGTATTTTAATCTTTGTACAGATTACAAAAAAAACTGTTAGAAAAGTTCTAAAAACTAAAAAAATATTATTTTTTATTTGACCAATTTGTTAAACATTCAAATAAACTGGAAAACTTAATAAAATAAATAGAATTTATTTCCAGGCCTTTCACGTAATAAGATGAAGCTCCTGGAACTCTGTTTATATAACATATTTTCACCCAAATTTTAAAATGATTTTCAAATATCCCTTCCAACCTCATATTAAAATAATTACAAATTTTGAGTCAATAATCATTCTCTTGTTCTTAAATGCGTTTGAAGCTAAAACACAAAAAAATCGGAACCAGATCTGTCCGACGGAGTTTCATTAAAAAAAATCAACAACCCTAAAGTTGCTGATAAAATCTTATGTGCAAAATTGTTATTGGCAGCTTTGATTGAGGGTATAATTAACAGTTTTACATAGAAAATAAAATATCATTCAATGTTTCTATACGATTTTAATTGATATCTGCCAAGACTTAATGTTAACAACAAAAACTGCTTTGAAAGTTCAATAAACAATCAGCTAGACTTCAGAGACCGTCAAAAACAAATCAAACGTACATTAAAAAAAAATTGTTTATCAAATCATATAAAATGTTTTGGATATATCGAAGTAAGTCAATTTCTTGGAATACTTTGATTTTTAAAGTTTTTCACAAATTTGTTCGATGTAATAATTATAAAATAAAATAATTGATAATAAATAAGTTGAACATTTGTTCGAAACAAAAAATTCCAAGCTACCTTCTACTTCAAGAAGAGCGCTAGAAGACTTTGATCCGACTACATTTGATATTTGAATCGTGTAAGTTCCAGCATCAGCGGGTTCGACATTTTGAATTTCAAGAGCACATAGGCCATGAAAATACTTACAGGAAAATAATTTGTTAACATTTAAAATGTAATATATAAATAAAAATTTGATAAACTGCTTTCGTAATTAATCGCATTTTATTCAGCTTATTTACCATTGAACTATTTTGTCACTCATTTTGTTTTCCTTCTATACAGATTAATGTTCTTTTATTAAATTTATTTAAAATTAAAATAAATGTCTTATTTTGAAAATGAAACATCATTGTCAGTTTTGTAATTTTTGCTATTCAATAAATCGTTTAAATGATTTCAACATTAAATTCAACAAATTATTTAATAAAATCATTTATTAAAACATGAAATTTTAACATTTCAATTACTTTTAAGATTTTAATTTCAAAAAGAATTGTTTTTTGTAAATTTTGAACCGATTTCTTTTAAAATTATGTTATACTTACTAATGCAGTTGACTTAAATTTAGTTAAACGTTATTATTGTACTGTACACGTGCCGATAAAGTGGGCAAAATGATGCAACTTCGTCACAATTTGTTTTAGAACGTCAAGTCTACCCATCATGTTTCAGGCCATAAAAACTCAAACACACTCAAATGATGTCGTAAGATTAGCTATTTTCAGGCCCGGAACAAGGGGGGCAAAGGGAGCAACCGCCCTGGAGGCAGCAAATTTTGAGAAGTTTTAAAAAATTTAAAAAAGTTATTCACATTTGTCAAAATTTGGATCAAAGTAAATTTAATTTTTTTGTGTTACTTTTTTTTAATTTTATTTATATGTTTTTTATATAAACATTAAAATATAAAAGTGTTGAAAATGTGTACCAAGTGGCTATGTTAAAAATCGTTGACAGGATCATTACAGAACTTAGTGACAGATTTAAAGCTTTGAATAATGTAAACAGCGTGTTTGGATTTTGAAGTGGTGTCAAAATTGAAAAAATGCAGACTGCAGATCTAAAAATTAAAGCAGAAGAATTGGCAAATATATACTCAGCTGATCTCAACATTGAAGAATTCAATTTTGAAATAGAAAGTTTTAAGCATCACTCTTTGACAGTTGACAAAAGTTTGAAAGAAACCACATCAAAAGAAATGTTAAGTCTCATTTATAAAAATAATAGAAGAAGGCTACACTACTGCATTGAAAATGTTCTCACATTGCCTGTCAAAGTGTCATCTGGAGAACGAAGTTTTAGCAAACTCAAAATCATCAAAAACTACATGAGAAGTACAATGGGGCATGAGAGACTTTCCAATAAAACACAAACGAGCACCCATAGTCAATTTTGATGATGTAATCAATACATTTGCAGCTAAAAAAGCTAGAAAAATTTGTTTTTAATGTAATATACAAAACAATTACATGATACTTTAAAGTTGCTATATAAGCAAAGTTTTTCACTTTTTAAGGTTATGTAACTATATTATTGTTGTCTTTTTTTCTACGTGTTAACATGTATATTGATATTATATATATCCTAGTATATTATTCCATTAGTAAAATATTTTAATAAGAAACATGTAGTATGTAATTTAAAAATCTGCATCTAAACAACAGCTTACGGTAGTAGCTCAAAAATACCGTGGTGGGGGCGGCACATTGAGTTTTGCCCCCCCCCCGGCAAATACGGTAGTTCCGGCCCTGGCAATATTTTAAGATTTATCAAAAAAACCATTATCTGGATTTACAATTAAATTCATGCGTTTAAAATATTAATAATAACAAAAATTAAAATAAACATTTTATGATAATTTATAAAAATAATAAACTTTAAGAAAAAAAATTAAAAACATTTAACCGATGTTTGAATTCTTGGACTAATTTTTATCTGCTTGTCATTGCAAAACCATGAAACATTGGGCTCAGGAACGGCGGAAACGGCACAACTCAATCTGACATTTTCATTTATTTTCACTTTTTTCGGTTTTAATGGAGATGTAAACTCCAGACTTGCTTCACGTGTCGGAGGTTTTTTAAACGATGTTTTAGGCGGAGGTGGATAAATATCAGAAATTTTGCCAACCGAATCCTGTTGTTCATGTCTTGGACCAAATATTTTTTGTGCCTCCATCAGCAAATCCTTGTTATGCGCTTCTTTTGTTATGTGCTTCTGTTCGTAATCTGACAAAGGTAAACGAGCAAATGGTTCAACGTAATCAATGTTCTCATAATCTGGAAGGGTTGTAAGAGTCTCTCTTGGCAGGTCATACTTTTCTGGTAGTAATTTATATTCACTTTTCTTATGAAAATAGGGTAAATGGGGTCCATTGAGATCTCCAAAATCATGAACATTGGAATAATCACCAGTAGGTAAACCTTTAGAAAATTTCGAGCCTAAAGCTTTACGCTTAATTTCTTTAATTTTGTCTTCAATGTCCATATCATTGGATTCATGTGGAACAGCTGCTAATAAGACTGTTGATTTAGGAACAATCTCTTTTATTGTTGATGGTTTGTATTCAAATTTTGGTCTATTAGCATTTGTGAGAATTTTTGACGAAAAGTTTGTTACATGTGGATGGCTGTAACTTCTTGAAGGAAGTACTTCAGAATAGAAGGGCGAGTACATTTCCGGTTTTGGCGTAATTGGTATCACACTGTCATATGCAACATAACTTTTGGTCAAAGTCTTTGGTTTGTAAGGTTCGAAAAACATATTTGTATCGTCACTAATAGAATCTTCGTCAAAAATATTTTTAGATGAACGATAATGAGTGAATCTTGGCACGTGCTGTGGATAAGTTGATCTTGGAATTTTGGAACGAGATTCAACATCATATTTCAAAGGTGATGGCGATTGACGATAATAACTCTGCTTCGTTGGTGAATGTCTTGGCGAAACATGCCCATCAAACAATTTTAAATTGGTTTTATAAGTGTGGAATTTATCATTTGAATATAAACCTTCTGGTATTTCTCCTAAATATTCTGGTGCGTATTCATTGTTCAGTGGAATATACTTCATGTTACTCGATGGAGCAAACTTAACGTTATTCATATCCACTACAGGTCTTGAGACGTTTTTCAATCTAGTTGCAACGTAACCATCATCTAAATCATCATCCGATGGCTTGGGGATATATTTGTATTTTACATTAACTTTAGGATGAACTAAATTTTCAGACGATAACCTGGAAAAATGTTGACGATTCATGTCAAAGGTAACGTTATCGTAATTTAAATTTTCTGCGGTGCGTCTTGGAAAGTGGCTGTGGCCAACATTTATCGAAAAATTATCGTACGGCTGATGAACAACGTGCCTATCAACGCTTAAACTTCGAAATGGTCTACTTGAACGTAAAGTTTCGGTTGAAGAATGCCTGGCCTTGGGTAAATTTTCAAGGTAGTGTACGTTTGGACGATCGTTATCGACGGACTGTCTCGAAATTTTGATCTGTCCGATTGCTGGAGCTGAAAAATCGCGCGTTTCACGATCAGCACTGCTGAAACGTTGCACATGACTCGCCCTGCCAATTAGAGTCATCGTACACTTTCTAGAATAATATCCAATGAAAATTAATAATTATTGTTAAAAAGTTATTATTATTAAATGCTTATTATTGCTTCAGTTTTAAAATATTGTTTTACTCTAATTAAATTGGCCGGTAAATATGCAATTATAATAATTAATCTAAAAAAAAGTTTAAAACTAACATGCTTTTGTTTCCAACAATGTGCAATATCCGATTGAATTAATTTTCAAACGTGAAACGGCACTAGAACATTTAGAAGACTGAAATATATATAAGCGTTGCTTTATAACAAAATATTCCTCTCTAGAGCAGTTCAAATTCTGAAGCAACAAGCAGTCTATACATGTATAAAATACAACTCGTAAATACATTTGATACAAAATTACTGAGCTTGCCTTGAATATAAACATAAGCAATGCTTTTTTGCTGCGATGTTATAGAAATATTAGGATTATTTCGCCATGTTACATACACCCACATGCTATAACAATTACAAAATTAAATACTGTTGACTTGAACGAGAGCCTTTTCAAACAATAATAATTTTGCTTCGCTTTTTAATAAAATTACAGCTCTGTTTATCATATTAAAAAGCAGATAAAAATTATATACAATTTTATATAACTAGCTTGATGTTTAAAAATTTTATTTGTGTTGTATATCTTCATATTTGCAATAACTACAAATAATCTACATGGAATATTTTTATAGATTGACAAACACGTCGCAGACGATGAAGTTTAGCGTTTTAAAAAATGTATTAAATATTTAGATTGAGAAATAATTATTTTGTTATTTGATAAAAAACAACGCATATTGGCCAAATTTCATTTTCGTAACTTTTTTCCAATAAAAAACTTAGAAAATTTTAGATTAATTACATGCACTGTGTTTTAAAGCGTCCAGTGAACTGATTAAGTGATTCAAATTAGGTAATTCGTTGAAATACTAAAAACGTTTCAAATATAAATAAAAATTGAAATCAAGAAAATACCTAAAGAATGCAAACATGAACAGTGAACACGTGTGGTAATAATGCATTGTATGAACAACGTACATTGCAAAAATTTTCGGACATACCGATCATATTTAAATTATTTTAGTGATCTACTCAATAGGTTTCCAGCTTGAGTTTTAATTTAATTAATTAAATAATAGTTCAACGTTTCGCATAATATCGTTTTCTACCTAGCCTTTTTACATAAATATTATATACTATAAAAACATATATATATATATATATATATATATATATATATATATATATATATATAAGCATATTTATTATATATAAATACATACATATATGTAAACTTGTATGTGTTAGTTTGTGTGTATTAATATATCTTTAGCGATATATACAATACATCTAAATTTGTTTACAGACAATTACTTTATGTGTGTATGTACGATCCATCTCATATGCCGCAACATAACTGCACGAGCCATGCATACAATAGACTGAATAACCATGCGTATGTGCAGTTTATTTAACCGCTCATGTATTAACCATTATTATTTTTCGATATTTTAATGTTTAAAATTTACAATTTTGAAAATACGATAAAACAACTTAGATTCTAATATTTTACGAAAATCATCTCAATCCTATATTTAATTCAAATCTTAAGGTTGAAATAAAGTCAAACAAAAAATGGCAAGTTTTAGTTTTGGTCTTTATCGCCACACCTCACGTAATGTATGTCGTATTAATTAATTAATTAATTAATTGTATTAAAAATGTGCGCGGTGCGTTCGAGCGCCAGTATAAATATTCTAAGTACAATACATATATATATAGAATATTACATATATATTTGATATTTATATATATATATGATTAAGAGGTATTAATTCAATTTTATTAAATTCAAGTTAATTTAATGATAGGGATGTAATGTAACAAGGTTTTATGCTGAGTTTGAGACAAACTCTAGGCAAGCTAATGAAGCCAGTCACAAATTATAACAAAATGCACTGTGCAGAAATCTTACCTGCGACCAGTGTTCTGTCCGGATTTGTTTTTGTAAACCTAGCTAAATCCGGCTCTGAAAAAATTAAATCAAGTACATTTTTTTTATTGATCTGAAGAAGAATTTGCTTATTTGTTTTGTTATTTAGTGTTCTCTTTTTTCTTTTACTTTCGCATTTGAGATAAAAGTACTCGTACTTGAAGTATATTACTGTACTTGAACTATAATAGTTGTGCTTGAAGTGTAGGTAGGTACTTGTACTCGGAAATTTTTTTTTCGGTACTTGAGACCTGAGTAATTGTACTTGAAAAAAGTATTTTAAAACATCTTTGATTTACATTTCGAAGAATTCAACTGTGCTTTCCCAGTTTCGTCCGATTTCACTGCTCATTGTTGAAGGAAAATTGTTCTTGGTAATCACCGAATCAATAGTTTTTTAAAGATGAATAAATAAGTTGATAACTCTGTACGAAAAGGAAAAATTTTAGATGTTCCAGGATGCCTGGATAAATCGGAAAAATATTTCAACAAGTTAAAACTAAAAGACTGAGTCTTCACATCGTTTTCATCTACCAAATACTTATGGCGCAGTATTTCAAATCTACAATGGAGGTCATTTCAGATGTTTTATGTTTCTGGTAAAGTTATCGACGTTTTGAAAAAAAAAACATTTCATAGGTTTTATCACAAGTGACTTTATTATGGATTGGATCGATATAAAAAGTTGAAATCGAATTTCACCAACCCTGTTTGTTTTGACAGTGCAAGTCAATGTTGGATGCTGCCAGCGGCTAATTTGGGCGGAGATGTTTGTATGCCATCGTTAAATGCATTCATGGATGGCACGACTATGTTGACAAACTCATCATAGAATTGTAGAAAAATTTTGCATGTACTAGATGATTTGAAAGAAAAACATAATGAAAGTGTCAGTTTCGTAATCTCCGAACAAACGATACTAACTTTGTTTCAAAAGTTAGTCAAAAGTTTGGAAAAGATACAACTCATCCTTGATGAATTCGGAAGAAGAAGAAAAACTGCCTAACTTGTCTAAGCAAAATTTAAGTATAGCGGATAGCCAAGATTTATGTGGTAAATTTAACGCCTAGTTGGCTAAATCAGTGGTGATTCCAAAATTACTTTGACTATTGTCAGTGTACGAATTTAACCTGAAACAGTGAAAAATGTTGAAATGAAAATCAACCGTTATACTAGAAAACGACTTGGTCTACTTGTGACTTCGCTTGCCTACACAGTTTAAGTACAGTTTTAAAGCTACCTTTTAAATTGGTATTTGATGAATTCAAATGCGCCAAAAAAGATGTCAATAGATATTTGACTTGACAACTGGGAAGACCAGTGTTTAAGTCATGCCAAATCGCTGTTGAAAACGTAAAAAAAAAGAAAAACATTCGTCATGATTTGGTTTTAAAATACATATGTACATAAATACATACACATATGTACATACATATACATACATTAGGAATTTGTTTGAGAAATGTTTTTTCCATTCATTTTGTTCTTGGGGAACGCTTTTGAGATCGTTTTTTGTATTAGCGCTGTATAAATTGACTTGTGTTAATAATTAGACATGAGTGCAACATTTGATTGTCTGGATCACCGAATACTGATACAAAGATTGTCAATAAACTAAAGAATCGCGGGCACAACCTTTGCATTTAAAGAACTAATTTTTTTGACAATGATTACTCTAGTGTCCAGTGAAGAAAAGTTGTTGTCTAAGAGTCCCTCAGGGATCGGTGTTGTGTCCGCTTGTTTTTGCTCACATTTTTGATGTGATTGAGGGCTATGATATGAAACGTTTTACATATGCTCGAGTCAAGTAGCTTATTTGACTGTTTAGCAGAATGACCGACTAAAAAAACTGCTTGCAGTAAATTGTTGGATTTTTTAAAAATGGTATTAGACTAAATGAAAGTAAAAACAAGTTGGTTACAGTTGAAAAAAGGATTCAATTTAAAATGTGTCTCATGGTGTTTAAATGATCTGGCCCCACAGTATCTGTCGGAAATGTTTAACTTCAAAGAGAAAACTGCTCATTGTCTCAGCAACCAATTTTAAAAATGGATGCCCGTAGTTTTGCTGCCTGTGGATCAAAGATGTAGAATGAGCTGCCTAACACTGTCCGTACAACTGTAGAATTGTTATACTTCTACATTTAAAAAAAATCGAAAGATGTATTTATTTTGAAACTAGCTTGAGGATGAATTATTGATTTGATTTGGACGTGAAATTAATTTTGTTTAAGTTTAACAATGTTACATTCATTCTTGTTCTATTAAACATGAACTGAATATTTGTTGTTTAGTAACAGTGGCGGATCCCGTTGTGAGCAGTTTTTTCATTAGCCAGAAAAAGGACCAGACCAAAAATTGGATGTAATGAGCAAAAAAAAAGGTCGTCAGCCACACTACCACAAATTTTTTAGCCACCCCACGAGAAAATTTTGGCCCCCTTCTGTAAAACTGTGGAGATTTTAAAAATTTTGGCTCTCTCCGTGTCAAAGTTGTCTAGATACGCCACTGGATGTTAAATAATATATATTGTGTGTACTTATTTAATTAGGTAACATTTAATTTCTGTTATTTAGTTTCATTTTTAATATTTTATGATCGTCAGAAAATTAGCATGCGATATGCACTTTTGTGAACTTTTAAAAGACACTTTAAATAAATTTTCTAGTAAAAAAATATTTTCTCAGATACATATATACAACAATGATAATATTAGTAAAAATAATGATAGCATACAAACTCACGCGCACATGTGATATCCATTCATTTAACCCGCACGAGTATTTCGTCCATCACCACAGACAAAAACGCACATATACATGTTTTACACATCTTCACCATTTAAGCGACCATCCATTTTATTTTGCACCACGCACGCTCGCGCACACAAACGCACGCATATACACATAATAAAATGTATCATTAGTTCTCTTTTTTGTTTATTCTGAAAATGAAACCATGTCAGATACAGAGAAAGTAAGAGCACGCAAGGTATGAAACGATGAAAATAAAATATGAATTTAGAACGAATACAAAAATAATACAAAGAAAATATTGGTGAAAATATAGGAAAAATGGAACAGTAAAATAAGTTTAAGTGGTAGTACAAATAGTAAAACAGTGGTATGATAAAATGGAAGTATAAAATAAATAATATAATTGATTAAAAGTTGAGGCATATAAAATAATATATTACAAAAATAAAAGAAAAAAGATAAAAGTAAAAAAGATAATAAAACAATAAATAAAAATTAAAAAAACAATTAAATAACTAAAAAATTGTTTATAATATATAATATATATAATGCAATTATTGATGAAAATCACAGCATGTTATGCGTTAGTTAATTTCCTGTTTAACTTTTTGATTTTTCTAACGGTTGATCGTAAATCATTCTCATATATGTATGTATCAAGACTTCTACAACGACTAAATTTGTCAAAATTAAAGTATATAATAAAAAAAAATCAACTGGCAATAAACTACCATTCCTAGACGTACTAATATAAAATGTGCAAAATGAATTTAAAACCTCAGTATACACCAAAGCTCAGTATACACCAAAGCAACAAACAAAGGTTTATGCCTCGATTGAAATAGTGAATTTTGTCAAACACATCTAGAGAGCACTATCTCTGCCTTTGTAAACCGAGCCTACACGCATTCTTCTGATATAGAAAGCAGGAGGACAGAACTAGATATAATCACTAAACTACTCATTAAAAATGGATATAAAAATTCCCATGATCGAGAAAATAATAGAACGCAAAGAACAAAAAATCAACAACAGCAACAATGCAACCAACAATAGTAACAAAAATAACTTAGCAATATATAATAAGAATCAATTTCGAACAGGATGAAAAAATCTTGAAAAGAATCATAAAAATAACGTCCAATCAATAAACGAAAACGATAGTATTAAACTACGAATATACTACTTCAACTAAAGAACGTCATCTTTTGTGATGAAAAACAACTGCACTAGTAAACCAGAACCAATAATGGATCATAGCCATCTAATATATTTGTTCAAATGTAATACTAGTGAGCGTGGGCGCCATAATTCCGAATATATTGGTATGACGACGATCAGGCATTCGAGAAGACACACTATGCACGTACAAACTGGCGCTATAAAGAATCACATGAAAAAGAAACAGAAAACTAAAATTACTAGACAATTCGTGGACCACAATGTTGAAATCTTTCATTACAATAATAACCATTATAATTTACGACTGGCCAAATCAATTCAAAAAGCAAAGACATCCAATAATAAATATTCAACAACGGCTATTTTAATTCTTCCTACCAATAAATTTAGAAACAGAAGTGTGACATTTGTATTTTTATATATTTAGTATCTTTTGGACGATAATTAAATAAATTCAGATATCGTAACGCACACTCATGTGGAATTGAATTTATATTAAATAAAACATAAAACATCAAATTTCGGTAGATTTGATAGGGTCCTTTACTAATTCGTTGCATCCATCGGAGCATTTTCATATCGGTTCGTTGAAGATGTTGTTCCAGTTTGGTTGTCATTGGCCATGTTTTTGCACCATATAACAAGACCGGACGTATCACAGATTTATAAAGTCTTGATCGTAGTGGTAGTGAAACGAAGGAGTTTTTGGTTCGCGAAAACAAGTCAATTAAAAAATAATTCTAAATACTTATGTTTAGATGGTGTCAGAGAACGCAGCCCAAAAGTCATTTTCCGTCTGCTGAAATTGCAAGTCAGCATGCAAAATAAAATTAAAAATTTTTAAACATTTAAAAACAACCCCTGTGAATCCAATTTAATTAACTTAAAAAAAATACAAAGCTTTAGCTAGAAAAATAACACGAAAAGAAAAAAGTCGAGTTGGAGAAATTTTGTAAATAACATAAATATTAAAACATTTTCCACAACAATATGGAAAATGGTAAAATCAATAAATAACAAAAATAACGAAAGTAGATATAGCTACCTGGTTCACAACAATCAATTATTATTTGGTACAGACGAAAAAATTGCAAACTTTTTAGCTGATCATTTTCAGAAAGTGTTTTCTAAAAATCGATTAAATAATGATTTCCTAATAATTAAAAATCATGAAAAAAATCATTTTAAATTTTAAAACAAACAATCAAGAAAGCTACAACAATCCTATGCTTTTGATGAAATATCATAAGAAATAAATAAATGTGAAAATTCTACTCCTGGACCAGATCAGATAACAAATGACTTTATCAAAAAATTATCGTTATTTTTCATCACCAAACTACTTGAAATTTACAACTATATATAGACTCACAGTAAAATACCAGACATCTGGCGTCAAGAAACCGTGATAGAATCAACAATAATCTACAGCTGAAATTTACCGACCGATATGACTAACATGCTGCACATGCAAATTATTTAAAAAAATCATCAATTACAGACTAACTTAGTATTTAAAAATTAATAACATAATGTCCAACGCTCAAACAGCTGGAATAAAAGGTAAATCAACTATCGACAATATAATATTTTTAAACGTATTTAAGAAATTTATTAGAAAACAAAGAACATATTTTAGTCATATTTTTTGATATTGAAAAAGCCTATAACACTGTCTGGTAACATGAAATAAAAACTCTGCACAACATAGGCTTAAGAGAATCATTATCGCTGTTCATCAAAGAGTTCATATCAAACAGATAATTTCAAGTAAAAGTTAACGATACCTATTCTAAAAAAACTATAAACTGAAATGGGCATTCTGCAGGAAAGCATACTATCACCCAGACTTTTCTGCTTGTACATAGATTTGATAACAAAAATTTTACCAGATTACATTCTTATTTCTTTGTATATGGACGATAAAACACAAAATCGTGAACGATTTAAAAGACGGCACTAATGAAATTTTTAAAAACATAGAAAGTTGGTCCAAACAAAAAAGAATAACTTTTTCAAATTCAAAGACCAAAATACTGCATTTTTCCGGAACAAAAACTAGAGAATATCTCAATTTAACATTTTAACTAAAACTCTAATATAAGCAGCGGAGTATAAATTTATTGGGGTAACATTTGATCAAAAACTAAATTTCACAAGTCTTTTGAACAAAATTAACAATATATTGAGCAATTTAAAAAAAGACCAATAATAGAATACGGCATTCAGATATATGGTTCAACAAGAGGTTCTTATTTAAAAATAATAGAACCAATAATCAATAAATTATTAAGAGGATGTCTTGGGACGTATAGAACATCACTTTCGATTACTCTCCATACCATAGCAAAAGAAACACTTATGAAAATAAGAAATTATCATTAAATTACTATTATACCAAAGTTTTAACATAACCAACTAATTTAGTTTATCATTATCTGAAGACAAACAATCGAAATCGACATTCTGATGAAGGAAGTTATCACACCAATTCTACCATGGGTCATCAGTAAAGCATTTGTCGATATATCGTTAAAAAATTTAGGAAAAGATACAATCCAAGTAAAAGTTATGTTCAAGAAAATAGTTCAAAAATAGTCAAACAATTCACAAATATATACAAATGAATCAAAAACCAACAAATCAACGATCATAAAATTAGATTCATGAAGTACCTACCCGAACCAACGCCCATTTGCACAGTAGAATTGATAACCATAGGCTTGGGGTTAAACTATGCAATAAAAAGTAAGGAAAACAAATTCATAATATTTTCAAATTCATTATCAAGTCTAGAAGCAATACAACATTATAAACAAAAACACCTTCTGATAATCCAAATTCAAACAAAAATACACAGCCTTCTGATTGAAAGTAAAAATTTAATAATAACATAGATACCAAGCTATATAGGCATTGAAGGAAATGAGCAAGCAGGCATGGCAGTTTCATTGGCCCACTCATTCTCACTTTCCAACATACCGCTACCATAAAACGATATTAAAAAATCTGTAAAATATTATATAACCGAAAAATGGCAGTTACATTGGATTGAGTACAACAATTTCATTCATCTAATCACAAAATATTTAACGGAAAGGCAAACAAAAATGCATTGGTGAATAGATTTTTTCAAACAAAAATAATCAGATTAAAAATAGGACATAAAAATTTAACACACTCTTGGCTTCTCAGCAAAAAGTCATCTCCAAACTGTGACAAATGCAATATCAAACTGTCAATCCAACATATCGTAATAGAATGCAAAAAATATGACCAACTTAGAAGAAAAAACAAAATTTTCAAAAGACAGTCAAAATTTGTTCCAAGACAAAAAAATATCACCAATATAAAACTTCTGTTCATTACAGAAATAGAAATCTTCAAAATCTAGAATACAAACTACAAAGATCAAAATTTATATAAACAAAATTCACATATACAATAAAGACGTTACCAACAATCAAAAACACCGATATCCAAAACATCATCAATAGACTTATGAGAAGCGAAAGATAAAATTTCAGTGGCGAGAAGACAGCCGGTAACCGCGCGGAATCGCCGTTAACCGATCACCATCGATCAATCAACCAATTACTCAATCAATAAATCAATAAACAAATAAACAATAAATAAATCAATCAATCAGTTAGTTTCCAAGCGCTATTGAAGCGATGTTCAACATTGCTCCTCAATGAATTTTACAAAAAGATGAGTCTTGGGATCCGCTCTAAACTTTGTTAGTGATGGAGAAGTAATTAGAAAAGGAGGTAGAGAGTTCCAGAGTAAAGAACCAGATAAAGCAAACTCGAATCACGAGCACGAGCAACCAAAAAGACGAACAACATAGCTAAAATCTTTATTTTCTTAAAAGGTAGAGTGTACAATTTAGAAGATCATAGTAGAGCGAGTTACAATAACCAATTTTTGATAAAACTATTAAAGTAACAATTAAAAGAAAAGAAGGATCGTAAAGAAAAGTTTTTAAGTTCACATAATGAAGAAGTTATTTTTTGAGATAAGAAAATAACTAAGGTGGACAAAAATCAGAAATATTAAAAGAATGATCTAGCAGTCTCAAAAATAGAAAGATCAACAGTATCAAAAGCAGAAGTCAAAAGCAAAAAAAGTCAGATTATTATTGTCACTAGAGAGGAGGATATAATTATGAATTTTTAGTAAGGATGTTTCAGTACTGTGAGTAGGTTTGAAACAGATTGAGAAACAGGTAGCAAAAAGTTTAAATAAAAACTATTAATAAACTACTTTTTCTATAATTTAAGAGATAAAAAAGAAATTAGTAACAGGTCTATAATTAGATAAAAAAAAAAAGAGTATTCACCACCCTACTTTTGCGGAGACATATTATCTGAAATTATTGTGTAAATTTTGTTGTGGCAATTCTGGAAATAATAATAATAATAATAACAAGAGAATAAATTAAGCCATAAGCAGATTGTCCTCTTTTTTCAGGATCTCACCTCGCATAATATATAGGTCAGTCGGTATGCCTAGATTCCGATTCGTGATTTGCTTTGCTTTTTGCGATAATGAGTTGTTGATAATTATTAATTAATTAATTATTAAAATTATTAATTAATTAAAATTATTAATTGTAAAAACAAATTTAGTTAAATTTTACTTTTTTATGGACTGCTTTTCTATGCGTCAAGGTATATGGTAAAGCTAAGAAAGACTGAATAAAAATAATAATAATTTTTATTATAAATATTATTATGTAATTGAAATAAACTAAATTACTTAATCTAATATATGCAAATACAAAATACAATGAAATAACTAGAAAAAGTTAAAAAAAGGTTAAAAAGTTTTATTAGAGTATTAGACTTCCAAAGTTCAGAGGAATCAACAAAACACACAAACATCATGTGTGAATACATGCTCTAAAGCTAAACGATGCATCACACACAAAGCATGTGATAGGCGGGGATCTTTTTGTCATATTCGAACCTGATTATTGCGAAATAGCACCAGGCAACCTTAACCACTAGTGACTAGGCCATGATGCTGCCAAAATAAAAAATTAATGAACAATACCAGTCTAATATATACAGATACACAACATATGTAATACATTCAGACAGATAAACAGACAAGAGAAAAAAAGTTAAATTGATTTTTATTTTATCAGATAAAATATAATATAAGTAATTTAACGTAGGTCTTATCTGTTATCTCCAGCCATGTCAAATTTAACTGCAAACCTGCCTGTGAAGCCAAACAACAATTTAGAAAAAGAAAAATGAAAAATAAACCATTAAAACATAAAACAGCTCAAATCGGTTCAAATTAAATATCAGAATAAGAGAATTAACAAATGACAAAACCTTAAAAAAGAAAAATAAATGTGAATTAAAAACCACAAAAATAATTGAAACATAAAACATATTAAGTCAAAATATAAAATTATGTTAAAAACAGTATGATTAGAAATTAGAGATTAAGAAAAGAACTAAACGTTTTCTTTTTTTAAAATATTGAAAGTCAGTAATATGTGTTATGATGTGATGTGAAATTCTGCCAAAAGCATTAATCTCAAATTTTCACCGTCATATATTTGTATTTTATATCATTTTGCATTATCATGCCATGAAATTTGGGGTCTTTTTTCTAAAGCTGAAAAATTTGGTTGTTCTCCTATTCAGCTAAATAAAAAACAAACTGGAATTTTACTTTAGGAAGGCTTAACTTGCAAATTCAAAATGTCTAATTTAAATTACTTTTGTTCAGTAGTTTTTATTCATACTGTTTTTAACGTATTCTGGAATGG